AATACTATTAGTAATATCTTCGTTAAAGACTTTGATGGTGACAGCTCAAAACATGAGAGGTTGAGCTTTATTAGCTCCACCTTGCGGAAATTCTGGATACTATTATTTTGCTTGCTGTATTATAGGAGAATTTACGGTAACGCGCGGTATTTACCGGTAACTCGCGGTAGACTGCGTACAGCGTACCGCAAAATAATGCGGTATCGCCCGCGCATTTTGAATGGCTGCATCTGTAGAGCCTTGTTTTTTTCAGGTAATCGTGTGACTGTCTATTGAGATTGAGAAAATCCTGAATTAGTTAAACCTGCTTCCTGAAACATCCCCCAGAGATTCTGTTTTAGTGTCTCTTTAAGGAGCAGAAACCACACTTTCACAACTTAATGTTTTTGATCTACTGTATAGTACACCTGTTTTTGTAGTGTCTCTCAGTAATTTCACATTTTTTTCATTGTTTTCTTTCATTATTTTATTCTTGAAACATTTTTTATGAACCTTCCTGGTCTGTGAACTCTTATACTGTCAGACTCGTTTGCTGTCAATGAAAATGACAACGTCATAGTTTGGTATTTGTTAGATAATCATTAGTGAGAAGGTTGAAGATAAGTCTACAGGTAACAGAGAAGTACAATATAGAGTAAAAGAGATATGATTAACAGTTAAACGTATGCCTGTATGCTTGTTTATTCTGTATGTATCAAGAACAAAAAGGCATACTGTAGTAATCAATGGCTATTTTTTCTTGTCTGTCAAACCTATTTGCACTCTGCAATCAGTTCTGAATGGAATAGTCATGGAATGGTGACGAGCTGTGATGGTGGTTACCTATTCATTCCCACATCCTACACACCTGAAGAAGGCTCCACTGTCAAAACATCGTGTTTCTTTTCTTTTCTTTTCAACATGCAATAAAGCTTTATTTGTTCTTATATACAACACACTGTATGTCTTTGATTTTGGTCCAACAAATTAAACTATTACAGAATACAAAGGAACCAGTAATAGGTTTATTCCATGCTTAAAAGAGAAGAAAGAAAACACAACATTTCGGCTGTGGAGCCTTCTTCAGGTGTGAGGACTGAAACGTTGTGTTTTCTTTTTTTTTCAAGATGGCGCCGTGTTAGTGGCAGTCTGCTATAGCAGCTCTGTGTCTTTTTGTTGTCTTTTTGTTTCTTTCAGTTAGTTAATGCTAGTGTGTTAGTGTTTTTTCTTCATACCCTTGCCTGCAACTAGATTTTCAATCACAACATGATGGATACTAAGAAGCTGAGATACTTTTTCTTGTTTTTTTTCTGATACTCAGACCTCTGTTTCTATCGGGTTGCAATGCCGATAGCTACAGAGGCATTGTCTACATGCGGGACCAGCTGATCGCGCTAACGCGTCTGGCTCTACTCACTGGAGAGAAGCCATCAGTTCCGGAAGAGCTGAGGAGGAGAAGCCGACGCTGTAGGGCTGGTGTGACGCTAAAGGCAAAGAGAAGGAGATTTAAACCCTATCTTCCTTTGATCATCATGGGAAATTTGAGGCCCTTAGTGAGCAAGACGAACTGGGAGCATTGGTGAGGAGTCAGAGGGAGTATAGAGAATGCAGTATCATGTGTTTCATCGAGACGTGGCTGCAGGAACTTATTCCGGATTCGAAAGTTACCATCGGCGGCTTTCAAAGGAAAGAGGAAAAGGAGGGGGGCTCGCGGTGGTTGTCAACAACAGATGGTGTAATCCTGGACATACTCATGTTAAGGAGCGCGTCTGAAACCCGGACATTGAACTGGTTGCCATAGGACTGCATCCATACTATCTGCCGCGGGAGTTTACATGCGCCATCTTTGTTGTTGTTTACATTCCACTCATGGCAAACACAGAGGCAGTGTGTGATGTCATAAACACAGTCACAGCCAGGCTACAAACAAAGCACCCTAGCGCTTTTAATGCTATTTCAGGGGACTTCAACCACATCTCTATTTCCACCACTTTTCCTACTTTCCACCAGTTTTTTAAGTGCCAGACCATCTTTGGGCTTCCACATTAGCAACAGAAACAGTCTCTGTATTCTGATTAAATCAATGTTGTGTTGTATAATGAGGGGGCCACTTGGCAGCTTCTGGGCCCTAGGCAGCTGCCTACTGTAGCTCACCTGTGCCCAGGGTCAGCCCTGGTTGATTATGTATTAATTTTGTTTTGGCATTTACATTCTTATTTTTTCATCAGTGTAATGTTTTCCTACCTGTTTTAACTGCTATAATGAGATCCCATGAATGCACTTAAAATTACTGTTTGGTCATTTGATAGAATCATATACATGTGTGTCCTATTTGTTGGGATATTTTTTTATAAACATTTTCCATTCAGAAGTGTTGTTAGGTTCTAATGACTTAGGGATGAAATATGTATTAATTATTTGGAGTGACTCGCCTCACTAAGGGATGGCAGCCTATCTGAGGCTGGATAGACTACCCAAAATCCTCCATCTTCACTATTGTGAGGATCGAGCTGGAGAGTTTGCTGCTGCAAGGGTGTAGATGTCGTGTTGAGGGGGCTGCAAAACAGACTTACATATGGAGGCAAGCAGAAGTAATTAATAACAATAATTGCTTACACTTATATAGTGCTTTTCTGGACACTCCACTCAAAGCGCTAAACAGGTAATGGGGATCCCCTCCACCACCACCAATGTACAACCCCACCTGGATGATACCACAGCAGCCATAGTGTGCCAGAACAGTCACCACACATCAGCTATTAGTGGGGAGGAGAGCAGAGTAATGAAGCCAATTCATAGATTTTGATTATTAGGAGGCCATGATTAGTAAGGGCAAATGGAAAATTCAGTGAGGACACCAGGGTTACACCCCTGCTCTGTTCAAGAAATGCTCTGAGATTTTTAATGACCACAGAGAGTCAGGAACTCAGTTTTACATCTCATCCAAGGGACAGCACCTTTTTACAGTACAGTGTCCCCCTCACTATGCTGGGGCATTAGGACCCACATGGACTGCAGGGTGAGTGCTCCCCACTAATACCTCTTCCAGCAGCAACCATAGTTTTTCCCATTATGTCTCCCATCTAGGAACTGGCCAGGCTCACACCTGCTTAGCTTCAGTGAGTTGCCAGTTGTGAGCTGAGGGGTGATATGGCTGCTGGCAAGTATGCATGATTAGGATGATGTGACCTGTTTCTGGACTGAACAGTAAACTGATACATCTGTACTTTTTCTTTTACCGTTTACAACCGTTTTTTTTGCAATACATGCCAGGGACCTGTGCAAAACATTTAGATCTATAGTTGTATTGTGCAATACGACTTTTTTGTGTACTGTTCTGTTCTGGTTTGTTCTTTGTGTGTTCTGGACTGTGAGTAACTCTTCGTGGTGCACTTCTCAATATACTGATTATATTGTATGTATTGTATTATTATTATTGTATCATTCGTTACACTGTGTCTGTGTTGTCTGTGTTAAGCTGCTGTTGCACTGCAATTTCCCTCACGGGATCAATTAAGTATCTATCTATCTTTATTCTCTTTTCAGCATGAAATAAACCTATTACTTGTTCCTTTGCAGCCTATGCATGCTGATGCAGCTACCCACCTGAACTATTACAGAATACATTAACTTAGACTAAGACCAGCATCATTTTACAGTAGTTTCATTTTTTTTATGTTGTGTTATAATACATTGTTTCTATAAAATTCCACCCTTTAATGCAACTCACTGCCAGTTGCACGGGTCATTTTGTGTGGTTTCACTTCCTCTACAAGCAATTATAACATCTGTAATTTATTTACTTGTTGTTTTTAAATACATTTTATACAAAGGGCTGGCCCCTGGCTTAGGGGAACTAGGCAACTGCTTATGGCCCCGAGGCTTCCAGGGGGCCCCATCAATGTGCAACAGATTTTTTTTAATTGGCATGTTCAAATGTGGCAAAAAGTCTGTCCAGTGGCTCTTTCTGTTGCTGCTATGTGCTAAACCAGGAAGGGTAAAGTTTGTTAGTGATAAATTATAATATTATAAGTTGTAAATGTAAGTGTATTAGTTTATATCACTATCGATGCTACTATACCGAATACTGTTTGTTTCATTTTCAGAAAGCAATAAATGTTGTAATCAATTTAATGCCCCTCACATTACAAGTGACTTTTTACTTCCATTGCAAACTATGTTATAATGGTTTAAAAATCAATTACTGATCCAGCCATTCAGAGTGCTGGAAGCAAAATATGACCGTAAATAGCATGCTCCATTTCACTGCGTTGCAATGCTCAATACCATTTGTATTTTTTTCAAATAATCAGACACAGGAAAGCACTACATTGTAAAACTGCCAGGTGGCACAGTGAATGCTTAATGTGGTGTGACTAACATAACATACACTAAATCCTATTTTAATAATAAAAATTAAATGTGTATTTACCCACTAGTGCATTTCATTATTTTATATACAGGGTGAGATAGATGAAAACTGGGATGTCTTTCAGAATCTAGACACAATAATAAATACCTAAATAGTGTTAATATTTCCACTTCCTAGAGCTTCAAACCAAGGGATGTTTACTTGCTGTGCTTGGTGTAAGAAACTGATCAAATGAATCTTCTGGTTTACCAGAAGAAGGTAATTATTTTGTGTTTAATCCCAAACTTTTTTCTTCTGATTCATAACTGTAACAAATTGTCAACTTTGCAATGAAGCTCTACCCTTTACCTATGCCAATAGCATGGCCTCTTGGAAAGGATAAGGAAAGATCTCTAACCATGTACATTTGATAAGCACCACTTAGATGATGTGAGGGCTGCCAAAATGCTCAACAGATATCTTTTGTCATCTGAGAGGAGAACACAGTAATAAAGCCAATTCATAAATGGAATTATTAGGAAGGCCATGACTGATAAATACCAGGGGGAAATTTGGCCAGGACAATATGGTTCACAACCCGTACAGATCATTTAATATTTACGTTTTAACATCATGGAGTTAAGCTACTATTTCAAACGTACTGCATGTGTTTAATATGAGTGTTAATTTATATTAATTCAATGTTTAATTGTCCTCATCAAGTTAATGATTGCTTTGAGATCTTTTTTACAAGACTATCAATATGTTATATTGTTATATTCAGCATATTCAGCTCTCTGTTTGTTAACTTTTACAGCATAGTTCCTGAGTGTTATTCTTGTGCTAATAATATTGCTACTTCTGTTCTCTGAACTCATACTGTATGTGCGCATTTCAAATTATTATGATTGATTGCTAGTAGCTTAAAAGTAATAAAAGTGTAGATCCAATAAATGTATTGGACTTGATTATTGTATTAATGTACTAAATTACTGTAAAAGTAATTTCCAATTTTCAAAGGAAATGTAAACCATCAAATTCCTCCAGATGCTGCTCCAACAAACTAATTCCAATTGTTTTTTTTTTCTATATGAAAACCTAATCTATGGAAGAAAATCTCACATAAAAATTATATCTTCCTTTATAGTATATTGCAGTATATCAATACTCACAGAGCTCTTCTGGTGTACTTGACAACAGGCAGCAGTCTCAAATGCATTTCTTTTTTTGTGCTGTACTTCTTCAAGTCAAACTCATCAATTTCTTCTGAGATCATAAAAAAATAGGCCAGTGCTGAGCATTGTTCAAGTGAGAGCTCTCCTCTTGAAACACTTCCTGAACTTAGGAAACTTTTGATTTCATCCACAAGAGAATTGTCATTTAGTTCATTTAAACAGTGAAACAAGTTGATGCATCTCTCTGGAGAAGGACACTTCCTAATCAACTTCTTGATGTAGTTTGCTGTTTTCTCTGTGCTCTTTGAGCTGCTTTTTGGCTGTGTCAGTAGGTCCTGTAACTGACTCAAGTTAGAGTCCACAGAGAGACCAAGAAGAAAGCGAAGGAAAAGGTCAAGGTGTCCATTCTTACTTTGTAAAGCCTTATCCACTGCACTCTTGTTCAATTCATACAAGCCTCTTTTTTGACATTTCCATTTAAATTTGCTTCCAAAGCTATGGTCTAGTGGATTTATATTGTTGTTTCTGTTTGAAAGAAAGACATATAATGCAGCAAGATACTCCTGAATGGTAAGATGTACAAAAGAAAATACTTTATTGTCACTTAATTTGCTGTCTTGTGTAAATATTTCTGTACACACTCCAGAGTACACCGAGGCTTGGCTGATATCAATGTCACACTTTTTTAAGTCTTCTTCATAAAACAGTAAACTGTTTTTTTCCAGGTGCTCAAATGCCAGTTGCCCCAGTTTCTGAATGAATTGTGACTGAAATTCCTTTGAATTCGTACTTTTACCAAGGTATATGTCTTTCTTATGTTTTATCTGATGTAACATGAAGCGAGTGTACATTTCAGTTAGAGTTCTAGGTACATTGGTTACTTCTTCATTTTCTTTTGAAGCATTCTCCAGAACAGTTGCTGAAATCCAGCAGAAGACTGGTATATGGCACATGATATAAAGGCTCCTCTTTGACTTAATGTATGTGATAATAAAATGGGCCTGAGTCTCATTTGTGAATCTCTTCCTGAAATAATCCTCCTTCTGCTGATCATTAAATCCTCGCACTTCTGTCACCTGATCAACATATGCAGGAGGGATCTGACTAGCTGCAGCAGGTCGGGATGTTATCCAAATGAGAGCAGAGGAAAGCAGATTCCTTTTGATGATATTTGGCAGCAACACATTTAGAGATAATCGCTTTTTTACATCTTGCCAGGGTAAAGTGTTCTGAAAATCTAAATCAAGTCGGCTTTCATCCAGACCATCGAAGATAAACAAAATCTTGTAGGTCCCAGATGCAATATCACTAATTTCTTTCACTTCCGGGTAATAGTGGTAAATAAGTTCCAACAGACTGTAATTGTTCTCTTTCATCAGATTCAGCTCTCGAAAGAGAAAAATGAATATGAAATCAATGTCCTCATTAGCTGTTCCATCTGCCCAGTCAAGAATAAACTTCTCCACAGAGACTGTTTTACCTATGCCAGCAACTCCTTTTGTCAGCACTGTTTTGGTACAATTTTCATCTTTATGAGTGGATTTAAAAAGGTCATTATTTCTGATTGTGCTCAATTTTGAAGTTGTTTTTTTTACTGTTTTCTCAATATGCCTCACCTCATGCTCTTCATTAACTTCTCCACTTTCCCCTTTTATTATACAGAGGTCAGTATAAATATCATTGAGGAAGACTTTCTTCCCTTGTTGACCTTCAGATGTGTTTTCATATTTCTTCTTCATCTTTTCTTTATGTGTCTCTTTGACTCTTTTCTGTGATGATTCTGAAAAAAAAAGAAAACTTAATATGAAACTAAATTCTAAAACATGATGTGCCAAACCCAAGAAAGTGCATAATGCATTGTACCACAAAGTACATGCTGTATTACTACATGGTAACGGTCAACGCCTTATATTTTCGAAATAATCTAAAGCAGGGATGCAATACATCGTATAACCACCAGGTGGCACAGTGAATGCATAAAGAACTTGAACATGAACTTGAACTTTATTGCCATATGTAACCGGTACTGGTACAATGGAATTCTTATTTACAGAAAGTCTCTCGATTGTAAAACAAGTGTAAAAAACAAGACAAAGTGCAAA